AAGGTCACGGAGTGTGTGCTTCATAAGATCTACAAGTAGTGAGACGTTAGCGACGGCCGCTGACCGGCAATGAAGGAGGCGGGGAGGGGGGTCGGTTGATTTTTTTTTTTGCCCGCTGCGAGTGACCCAGGACAGGTGAGAGGCAGGTTCATCGCCATGGCAGATTGTGTGGTCCGCTGACAGGAGTACAGCCAGGGGCGGATCCAGAAAATCTCCAAGGGAGGGGCCATTAGAAACCAGGAGGCCCCCCCCCCATAATCCCACCTGTTGGAGGCCCCATCTTCCCACTTGTTGGGCCCCCCCCCAAAAAAAAACTGCGTCTATTGAGCTTATCTAGCTGTTCAGGCAACATCTCAACATCTGTGCAGGCTTGGAGGCCCTCTGTGCAGGTTAGGAGGCCCTGTAAAAGTGGTCATCTCTGTGAGTATAAGAGACCTCCAAGTTATGAAAAGCTTTACCAATCTTCTAACAAAGAAGTCTTCTCAGCTAGTCTTCTAAGAAATAACTAAGTGGTTAGGTTAAAAAAAAAACTCATCGGATTTCGGCCACTTTATTTTCAGCAGGCCCCCTTTTCAGCTTTTTAACTTTTAAACTTTTTATTTTATTTTTGAAAAAAAATCGGCCAAGGGGGGGGGGCCATGGCCCCCATGGCCCCCCCCTTGTATCCGCGCCTGAGTACAGCTGTAATACACGACCGTTTTCCACTCCTGTGTCTGTTGTCGGGTTTGGCGGTTGTTGGCGGGTTTGGGGGGGGGGAGGTGGGGGTGGGGCCGAACGAACGGCGCATCGGCCGAACGACACGTGTGATGGTGGGAGATGTGATGGGAGGCAAGTGACCGGGCGGTGGGACCCGATCACTTGCCGTCACGTGTTTTGCTCCCCTGTTTCGATGACACACGTTCCGGTGTTTGATGTCTCCCTCAATGACTCCCTAAATGGGTTCACCGACACCCATGATGTGGTATCTCCATGAAATGAAAAATCCAAAGATGTTAGGTATCAAAATATAAAAACGTTATTAGCATATTTGGATTTTTCATTTCATTATGTTACCACATTATGCGTGTCAGTGAGCCCATTTTGAGAGCCATTAAGGAAGAAATCAGACACCTGAACGTAGTGTCACCGAAACAGGGGAGTCTGACACCATATGGGGGTTGTCGGACACTAGGAAAAGTGGTCAGTGATTCTCCTGAAGGGTGTCACGCAACGGGAGTCGCGAAACCATATGAGGGGGTGTCGGACACTAAGAAAAGGGGTCAGTGATTCTTCTGAAAGGTGTCACGCAGGGAGTCTGACACCATATACGGGGCGTCAGACACTAAAACTAGGGGTCAGTGATTCTCCGGGAGGGTGTCACTCGAAAGGAGTCGCGACCTTTTTAACCCGGCAGTTGCTGGGGTATTTCGCCACCCACCGTTTGCTGGGGGGGGGGGGCGTTAAACGCTCCCAGCCGATAACTCGAGAACCAATAGGCGCAGCGAAACGCACGAGGCGGCAAACGAAAGAGCGCGACGAGACGCTTCAGATGAGTACTTTAAAGTTGAATTTTGAGGTCACAGGTCGGGTCAAGGTCAGGTCAAACACCTGAAATCGGGCTTTCAGTAGCATGGACTTCAGGACTTCGCAATGGGCGCCTCTCGTCATAAACTCTGTCCAAACGGTGCACAATCCATCATATAAGGCCTACAAGAGTGTCAGCTCCATGTAGGGGTCAGTCAAGCATAGGTCAGGGTCAAGGTCAGGTCAACCGGGTAGGCACATATCCCCGAAAATCAAAACTGATATTCGCAGCCTGTGACACGTGTTTTATAGGTAATTTGGGGCGTAGAACACGATGGTGACATTCATTATATCATATGTGTACGTGTTTGGCTCAAAAAGTTCAATTTAAAGGGACCCTCCCACCTTCAAAAAAGTTAATGAATTGGCATGAAAGCGATGTCGCTCGGTTCAGAAAGAGCGAAAACGAATATCTACCAAATTTCATCGAAAAATATTCACCGGTTTTCAAGATATTAGACTTTTACTTTTGTTTACTTGTTGGGATCTCCGCTGTTCCTAGCGACTTTATTTGAAAGTGCGGCATTTGTTGCGCGCAAAGCAGCATATACCACCGCGTGCTACAAAACGTTTTAGTCAAACATTTAACGGACGTTCGAAAGCCTGATGACGTCATCAGATTCCCGTAATGGTTAAGAGATAGGGACCACGCTGGTCCCACCCTGCAAGTAAAGGGAAGAAATTTCTTGAACACCATTAAGCTGCGGGGGTTGCGACCAGGATAAATGGTGGTTTCTGAGCCTGGCCGCAAACTTGACTATCTCAACTCAAAACTAATGTTGAGGTGGGAGGGTCCCTTTAAGAAATGCATGTATCATGGTCGTGAACTAGTCACGAAAAATTGCCAAGATTCAATTGAAGATTATGGAAAATGCGGAGCGATAATCAATAATCGAAGATAGCCATTTGATTTATCATGGTATTGGCAGTCTAATGGCGTTTACGGCATGTCTGTATGTCTATTCTGTGATTTTATATGATTTTTTGAACATATGCCGTTTTTGGTCGAAAACTCAAATCATGACGTCACTAAAACCTCGATATCTCAGAAATTTTCCGAGCGATTTTTTTGAAACTTTGTCACAATAAACTTAAATCAATTCCTTACAGGTACCCAAAATTTGGCGCGCCTGCGGCGCGCCGTTTTTATGCTATGGCCCGGCGAAAAAAGTGGGGGCGTTTAACGCCCCCCCCCAGCAACTTGCGGGTCAAGGAGTCGTGACGCCCTCCTTTATTGCATCTGGACACCAGTATACGGTGTCGAACACCATATTTTGGTGTTAGGATTCCCCTCTAGGGACTCATGGTGACCCCCCTGTGGGGCGGACTTTTCGTCAGAGTCAATTGATCCCTTATACGGTGTCATTTTGTTCAGTGTAAAAAGTACATCCGCCTGGTGTATTTATACCTTCTTTAACTTGGAATCGTAACAGAGCGAGCGAAGCGAGCGTAGTCTTTCCTTAGATCAGTGGTCGATAGGTCATTCGGGGTCGTGCCCCCTTTTTGGGCACCAGGCAGGGCCATTACCACCACCTACCAGACTCCATTGGTGACACAACCAAGTTTACTGAAATTCCATACCTTTCTGGAACTCTGTGGGTATTTCTGCATTTACGGCGCATCAAATTTAAAACACTTCCTCCACAAAACATTTAATAAAACTGGCCTCTGGACCAATAATGACCATTGGCTTATGAGCTTTTTCTGGTGCTCATCTTTAGCCACAAATTCTCACTTTAAGAAGTTATAGCGGTTCCCGATTTTCTCGACACTTGTCTTTGACCTATTGAATGAGACGAAATGACCAAAGACCTTAAAAATGGGCAGCAGTGGCTTGCTATAGTCACGGGTAACACGCTCGTTTTATAATGCACAGCTCCATCTCAGAGTCAGAGAGGCCGTGGGGGCCCGATCGACTCCTCAGAGTCCTCACCCTTACGTAAGCGGCTGTGGAAACAGCAACAGACGGGCGATGGTTAACCCTCGCCCCGTTGGGGGGGGGGGGGCAATTTGGCCCCCCTGTTGTTTTTCCTAAATAGCAATAAAACGGTGGCGCACAGCGCCGCCAAATTTTCATTACCTTCCCGGGCATCAATTTGACACCTTCACACCAACGTTCAAGTCTTAGGTCACCTAAGGTCAGAAGTTATTGAGGTCAAACTGAGGTCATGTTCGAGCAAAAATGAGCAAAAAATGCAATCTTGAAACGCTCACCAAACGTACAGTTACTAAGCAATTTCAAAGTTCTTTATATGGCCTAGAAGACAAAAAGCGTCGCTACAAAACTGCAATCTCGGATTTTCAAAATTTTGGGTTTTTGACCCCTAAAAATTCAAAAAATTGATATCTTTTGAAAAAAAAAACTGAAAAAGTAAAAAAAATCCGAATTTCGAAAAAAAAACGGAATATAACTATGTGATAGTCCCTGCGCTCTTCTATATACATACCAAATATCAGGTCGATATCTCGTTTTTTGGCCAAGTTATAGCGAAAAAAAAACATCAAAAATGATGACGTCAAATTTTTGAACTCAATTTTTAGCGATTCTAGACCACGTAGGGCAAAACAAAGACCACTATTGAACTCCCCGTGACGAGCTGCATGTAATCGTTACCCATTTTATGCAAAAATATCAACTTTGAAATTTGACCTTATTTGACCTCACCTTGACCTGAACTTCACCAAAATATGATCTAATCTGGCCCCAAAGGCTGCCTGACCCACATAATCGCATTTTTCATGTAAAATGGACCATAAAACATGCATCACACGACACTTTCATATTGTGACCCCCAGTGACCTGACCTCTGTGACCTGAACTGGTATCAGTGACCTCAGATAGCAAAGCATGTGTTTAACGAGCAATGCACCATCGATGGTTTTCAATAACTTACCATTTTACTCGATTTCACAATACATTTCTTGAAATGCCTGTGAACGGTGAAAATCCAACCTATGACCTGACCTGTGACGTCATCGGATTGACCTAGGTCAATGAAATTTGGTCACAAGGTAATTCCCGGGTGGGGCTATCGAACGCCGTTTGAGTTTTAAAAATCGGCCGGTAAATTTCCGAGATCTTGGGGGGGGGGGGGCGAAACACCCCCCCCCCCCCTACGGATGGTAGGGTCCGCCGATAGCTCAACGGGGCGTGGGTTAACTACTTGCATCATAGCTCCATACAGCTATACATATGTTTAGCAGATGGCTTAGACCACCTGCGATGCATTCCAGCAGCAGTCTTTATTCAGAACCTGCCTTGATTAACCAACGATGCATTAACTACAACGGATAACTCCGCAACGCACTATTATCAACTACTGAACGGTCCTCGCCGATAGGGGGTACTGTACCCCCTAACTTACGATAGCGGGGGATCGGTCCCCCCCCCCCCCCGGTGGCGCCGCCCATGCATACATTGACTAATGACTACCAAATTCGCCCCAAGATGAAACGTTTATTGTCGATAATATTTTTGGCCGCACTACATGACCCACACATTTTGCTAATTCGAAATGCTTGCATAAGTTTGCTCTATCCGTGCGTTTTCGCCGATGCCTTTCACGAAACTCCAGTTCTTGGAGGCTAGCGTCCGAACTGGTTGCTGGTCGCCCGGTTGTTGGCGAACTGGTCGCTTCCGAACAGACCAGTGCTCTGTCCGACAGTGCTACCGGCGCTGTTGAAGGAGGCCGATCCCGGGCCAGACGCAAATCCCTGCAGAGAAGTTGTGATTTTATAAATATTGTACGGATCATATAACTTTGAGCAGCTCAGTGACATTAACCAATAATTCAATGCTGAATAGTTGGTTTGGTCAAGCTAGTTTAATGATGAGTTAGGATGAGACTGAATGATTACGAGCGAGCGAGCGCAGCGAGCGAAGCGAGTCTTTTCAATATAACGGAAAAATCTCAGTATGAGCGGCCCGGCCCGGCCCGGCCCGGCCTGTAACGCTTTTGAGAGGCTTATATCTCAGCAACCGCTGGACCGATTGACCTGCGGTCTTTTTTGCTGGGTAGCCCCATCCCTTCTACCCCGTAATTGACTACCTTTGATACATCTCAGTGACCATCGTGGCACGTGCCACGTGAAAAGTCAAGGAGGTTTAAGCTGTTTTGCAAAAGTAGTGATTTTGAGAGGCTCATATCTCAGCAACCGCTTGGGCGATTGACTTGCGGCAATTTTTATAGGGTAGCAGCATCCCTTCTACCAAAAATAGGATACTCTCGATGCATGTCGGTCACCCCCATTGCACGTGCAAAATACAACAATAGGAGGTGTCAAATTTGTTCCCATTTTAATAACTCGGTAATTACTGGGGCAATTTCGCTGAAACTTGGCATACAGGTAGGCACCCACCAGGCAATGCATTCCCATGTGTTGGGGTTAAGGTGCTACTGCACGTGCGCACGTGCAGGGGGCGCTTCCAGATCTCGAGAACGGCTGGGCTGATTGCGCTCAAGTTTGGTACAAGGTTGGGGACCAGTTAGTAGGGTGCCGTGCAAAAGTCAGTTTGGACCCCGTTTGCACGTGCGCACGTGCAGAATGCCGCTTCCAGATCTCAGGAACGGCTGGGCCGATTGCGTTCAAATTTGGTACACCGCTAGCTACCGGTTAGAAGGGTGCTTTGCGCAAGCCCGTTGGAAGTACCCTCTCGCACTTCTGCACGTGCAGGGCTCACTATCTCGCTCGCTCGTTCTTCGCCCAAAAGGCGTTTTACTGGTAAGTAACAGATAATTAACGATATTTGCCATGTATGAGCATACTCAGTATTGTAGGGCATTACGCACTGGCTTGGCTTGTTTGATGGTAAAAAAAAACATCTGAAGTAGAAATCGAAGAAAAACTTACTCCAGCGCTCGAGCTGCTCTTTTGGATCTGGCTGGTGCCGCCAAAAGGACCGGTCGACTGGGCTTGGATGGAGCCAGACTGGGCGTTTCCGCCAGCATTTCCGCCAAATCCACCACCAAATCCGCCCAGTCCTCCGAGATGAGATCCACGGAACTGGGGCTTGGCAGCGACTGCCACCAGCAGGCAGGCGAGAACGACGGCGACCTTCATGACTGCTATTCTGGAAATATGAGAAAACGTAAAATTGGTGGAATTTGGAGTGCAGAAGGGGTGATTTTTTTTTAGTTCTAATGCAAAACTTGGTTTATTCTTTGCCCATTTACGACGGTCTCTGCGTATTGTTTGAAAACTGTTAATATTGCCAGTGTATGACAGCTTTTGTGCCTCCCGTATTGCATGTCTTTCGTTCTGTTAGAGTAAATTCGCGCTGGTCCATCGCACGTTGATACTAAGTCGAGGTCAATCGTTTGACAAATAATCTTGGGAGGGTGTGTGCTTTTGTTCTACATAGGTGGCTAGGAAAGGACACACTTAATTATCCTATTTATCAAATCATGTCTACAGTGATGCAGCTGGTTAAACTTAAAATCAGGGATGCGGAGCCGTGGAAATTTCAGACGGCTCCGGCTCCGGCTCCGGCTCCGGCTCCGGCTACGGAGAAAAAAATCGGTTCCGGCCCCGGCTCCGGCTCCAGGTGAAATGTCATGACGGATCCGGCTCCGGCTCCGGCTCCGAGTAAAATGGTCCGGCTCCGGCAGCTCCGGCTCCGGATCCGGCTCCAGTACTCAGTACATCCCCCATGCAATTATATACGGGTGGAATAAAAAAGACGATGGGATTGGCTCACGTTGCTTCTGTATTTGCATAACAAGGCTATTTTGAATACCTCATGTACTGTCACTGCCTTGTACTGTCAAACCGAACTAGGTCAATAATTTTTTTCCTCTTCAAAAACAAACAGGAGCCGGAGTCGCCCCCTTTTTTACAGCTCCGGCTCCGGCTCCGACTCCGGGCAAGATATGCCGGCTCCGGCGGCTCCGGCTCTGGCTCCGCACCCATGCTTAACCCGGAAGGCGGTGGGCCTCCCGGCCACCTTCCGCGCGGTGGGGGGGGGCATTTTTTGCCCCCCCCCCCCCCGCGTATCTCCGAAAAAAAAGAAATTTTTTGCCTACTGGACGGATCCGGAAAATTTAAACGGCGTTCGATAGCCCTGTCAAATTTGTCCAGAAGAACCAAATTTCATTGACCTTTGGGGTCACCAATGACGTCACAGGTCAGGTCAAAGATAAAATGTTTCACCGTCCACATGTATTCTAGCCCGCGCCCCGTAGGGGGGGGGCTGTCCTTTTCCGTCAATATCTCCTAAACGGCTAGAGATATCGCCATCAAACTTTCAGGACCCCTCCGGGCATCACTTTTACACATTGCGCCCATACATTTTTCCAGAGGCTATGATAGGTTGGCCACAAATGACGTCAGAATGACGTCATGTTCTGCCATTTTCGACCGAAGAAAGACCTTCGCGAGAAGAGCTGTCAGGCCTACAGCTTTGAAGCTACAGAAAAATGATCAGACATAAAAGGTGTAGAATTGACGGGGCTACAAAACTGCTATCTCGGATTTTTGAAATTTTTGAGTTTTGACCCCCAAATATCAAAAATTCGATTTTTTGGATATGTTAGCCAAAGAATCCAAAAGTTTTTTTAGTTTCGAAAAAAAAAACAGAATATATGTGATAGTACCTACCATCTTCTATCTTCATACCAAATTTCAGATCGATATCTCGGTTTTTGGCCAAGTTATAGAAAAAAAACTGTTCAAAAATGATGACATCAAATTTTCAAACGCAATTTTTGGCAATTCTAGACCACGTAGGGCAACACAAATATCACCATTTGACTCCCCGTGACGAGCTGCATCGAATCGATAGGTTCCCATTTTATGCAAAAATATCAATTTTGAAATTTGACCTAATATGACCTGACCTTGACCTGACCTTCACCAAAACGTGACCTAAGCTGGCCCCAAAGGCTGCCTGACCCACATAATCGCATTTGTCATGTAAAATGGACCATAAAACATGTATCACACGACACTTTCATAATGTGACCCCCCAGTGACCTGACCTCTGTGACGTGACCTGGTGTCAGTGACCTCAGATAGTGAAGTATGTGCTTTACGAACAATGTACCATCGATGGTTTTCAATAACTTACCAATTTACTCGATTTCACAACACACTTCTTGAAATGCCTGTGAACGGTGAAAATCCGACCTTTGACCTGACCTGTGACGTCATCGGTTTGACCTAGGTCAATGAAATTTGGTCACAAGGTAGTTCCCGGGAGGGACTATCGAACTTCGTTTGAATTTTGAAAATCGGACGGTAAATTTCCGAGATCTTAGGGGGGACCGAAACGCACCCCACCCCCCTGCGGGTGGTAGGGTCCGCCGATAGCCCTACGGGGCGCGGGATAAGGGAGGTGCTATAACACCGAGTTAAATGCATTTTGTCGAAAATCAGCGATAGGGCGTCTGAGTTGTCTAGTACATATGTTGCTATTAGAGGTCACTGGTCATACCAGGTCAGGTCACAGGTCAGATCACCAATGGTCACCACGTGAACCCAACATTACTAAGGTTGTGCGATGCATGTTTTATGGCCAATTTTTCAACTCAATGGTGTTGGTTATAAGACCATCAGGTATGGTTTAGGTCACTTTCTTATGGAGGTCAGGTCAAGGTCAGGTCAAAAAAGGTCAAATTTCAAAGTTAATAGTTTTGCATAAAATGCGTATTGATTCGATGCAGCTCGTACGGGGAGTCTAATGGTGGTCTTTGTTTTGCGATACGAGGTCTAGAATTGCTAAAAATTGAGTTTGAAAATTTGACGTCATCAATTTTGAAGTTTTTTCGCTATAACTTGGCCAAAAGAAAAAGAGGTATCGATCTCAAATTTGGTATATTGATAGAAGGCGGTAGGAACTATCACATATATTCCTTTTTTCGAAATTCAAAAACTCTTTAGATTTTTCGACTATTTTATTCAATTCTTTTTTATTTTTGGGGGTCAATATAAAAAATCCGAGATGACAGTTTTGTAGCCCTCTTAATTCTATACCTTTTATGTTGAAACATTTTTCTGTATCTCTAAAGCTGTAGGCCTGACAGCTATTCCCACAAAACCTTTTTTGGGTCGAAAATGGCAAAATGACGTCACTCTGACGTCATTAGCGGCCAACCTATCATAGCCTTTGGAAAAAAAATTTGGTCACAATGTGCAATAGCTACTCACGGGAGGGTACTGAAAGTTTGGTGACGATCGGCGCAGCGTTTCTGGAGATATATCGAAAAAACTAAAGGGGGGGGGGCAAAAAATGCCCCCCCACCGATTGGAAAGTTAAATTAGTTTATTTTAGATTTTGTCTTTAAAACACATAAATCATACAAGTCACACGTGATACCAATGATATATTAGTGGCACTTATTTCAATAATAGACTTACCTGGTAAATAGACACTTCTAAGCAATGGCTCAAACTAGTGCAGACTGGTAGAAAACAAACGGAAAGCTGCCCCTATATAGTCGCTCTAGCCCGTGACAGACCTGTTAAAAACCGGCCCGGCCCAATATTTCCGTGTTACATGGTCGTGATGACAAACGGTTGTTTTCCTGTTGGTCGCTTACATACACGCGTTCGGTGTTGTGGTATGGCCAAACAGCGTTTAGACTGCAGTAATAAGCACTGCTGAGTAAGTATTTACGATTACAGTTACCCAACGCTAATTGGAAAAGGTAGACAAAGAAGATTCCAAAGCAATGACTCAGTCCACAGCAGAAGTAATGTGCGGTTTCAGTCATGGGTATGTTCTGCTCCTGAAGCTTAGGAACGATTAGCCAGACTACAATGAAACTTTGAATGTAGCTTATATGTATCGTCACCCTTGCAGCTGCAACTTTAGCTATTGACATCATCTTTTCAATCACTCCGCATTAAACAATCACCAGTCAAAGCCAACCATTGAGATTGGTAAAACCCTACATTACTTTAGCGGTGGGCTGTACTATTACTTTTCGATGAATAATCTGTCATGCATGTATATACCTAGAGGATACATGCATTAATATTAACATATTTTGTGACACTTCGCACATTTTTTTGCAAATGAAAGATACCGATGTGTTCACACATCTGTTCGGGTCCCCGCTCAAACATTGTGCAGTCATCTCCAGGTATTAACCCGCGCCCTGATGGGGTCTGCCGAGCAACACGGTCTGATGGGGGGGGGGCATTTTGCCCCCCCCCCCTAAGATCTCGAGAACCACGCAACATAGCGACAAGCGGCAAACGGCGTTGGATAGCCCCAACGGGGCACTACCTTGTGACTCAATTTCATTGACCTCGGTTAAACCGATGACGTTACAGGTCAGGTCAAAGGTCGAATTTTCACCGTTTACAGGCATTTCAAGAAATGCGTTGTAAAATCAAGTAAAATGCATTTCATTGAAAATCATCGATGGGGAAATGTTCTTCAAACACATATTTTGCTATTTGAGGTCACTGATACCAGATCAGGTCACAGAGGTCAGGTCACTGAGGGTCACAAATTAAAAATATCATGTGATGCAGGATTTATGATCCATTTTATATGCCAAATACGATTATGTGGGACAGGCAGCCCTTGGGGTCAGTTGAGATTATGTTTTGGTGAAGGTCAGGTCAAGGTCAGGTCAAATTAGGTCAAATTTCAAAATTGATATCTTGCATAAAATGGTTATCGATTCGATGCAGCTCGTCACGCGGAGTTCAATGGTGGTCTCCGTTTTGCGCTACGTGGTCTAGAATTGCTAAAAATTGAGTTAAAAAATTTGACGTCACTAATTTTGAACAGTTTTTTCGCTATAACTTGGACAAACAATGAGGTATTGATCTAAATTTTGGGTATGTATATCGAAGAGTGCAGGGACTATCACATATATTCCTTTTTTCGAAATTCGAAAAATTTTGGAACTTTTTTGAGTATTTCTAAAAAAATCATTTTTTTATTTTTGGGGGTGAAAATCCAAAGTTTCGAAAATCCGAGATAGCAATTTTGTAGCGCCGTTTCTTCTCTACACAACCACATAAATACGCCCGGTTATATATGACAAGATATAACCGGTTTTTCCGCGACACTACGAGCGTCTTCTCTGGGTCGGCCCCGGAGCCGGGCCGGCATCTGCGAGCAGCGTTCGGCGGCAGGCGGGCGGCCGCCTGCGCCCCCGGGCGGCAAGGCCGCTAAGGCGGCGGCCTCCTCTGATTGGCGGAGCGACTCGTGTCACGTGACGGTGACGGCGCGGGGTTTGAGTGCATTTGCGCGGTCACTCTGTTCTAAGCCGCCCGGTCTGACGCAAGTCAGCAGTGTTCTCGCTCTGTAATGTTTTTGCGTTTACTGCGGTCGTGTTCAGTGGAAACTGGAAGACATCAAGGAGAGTATAGGTTCAGTTTTTATATAAATGCTATATGGATTGACGAGGATGTTTTTTTTTTCTTTCGGGGTTTTTGTTTATTTTTTACTGGTTTGTTGTTTCTATCTGATTTTTTTCATTTTCGGCATGAGGTTTGGTTATTTTGTGCTAATGTTATGCTATCACGGTAAGAAAAGGGTCGATGAGCAATGGGTCGGCAAATGCCCGGTATTATAGGTTCTTTGAAGGTTAGATAAAACAACGAAACTTGGACTGCTGGTAGGAATAGTCTTGGTGTGTTTTTTTTCAGATTTTGGGAGATTGAGTGTAGGTATTTGCTAGGTGAAACATAGCTGTAACTGGTTTTTTTTTCTTCCCTGGAACGGAACGCCCGGACTTTGCCATTCTACACTCCGTGTGAGTGAAATCAGCTCATGCTTTCTCGGTGTAGCAGCTCAGAGTGCACGGCCTGGCCGGCGTAGGGTTTGGTGGCCACGTGGTGTTGGCCGGTGGTTGTGCAGAGAGTTGGTAGAATTGCCGTTTTGTGGTGCCTGGTGTTGGTTGAACTGTGGTTCCCATACAGGTGAACGGTTACTGGCGTAAGGTGTGCCAGGTGGGCGTACCCCGTGGAGAATGAGCTGCTGGTGATGTTGGCTCTGTCCGAGCGTGTCCAAGCGGGGTTTTCATTAGTGGGTTAGGGATTGTTGATAACAAGGGTACCAACTGCCGGGTGAGACTTGAGAGGGTAAATGGAGTTCATTGTAAGGATAACCAATGCAATGGTATTGGTCTAAGATGGCATTGTTATCTGGTGTTAGGTTGGGATGAAAGGTTTAGTGGTTGATACAGAGGTACAGAGGTGATGATACAGTGGAACCCAGTTTGGGTGTGATAAGTCTCGGCGGACTAAGATATTATGGATTAGATGGGGAATTATGTAAGGTGGTTTTGGGATGCATTAGCGATAGCCTAGTAAGTTACAGGCTATTACCCAGAGGAAGTTTTCACACCCATGTTTAAAGGCTGCAGTAGGTATGCCATTTTCTAGGATGCAGGTTTAGGATAGCCCGTGATTGTGTGGCTCTCAATCTGCATTGAGGTACGAGTTAACTGTGTTTCGTTTTTTATGGTAGTGGCGTTTGTAAATAGTTTTTTTTTTTGCCAGAGTGAGGTGCCTTCCTTGTCGTTGGTCAATAGGGCATTGCCAAGGCATGCATAAGCGACATCTGCAATATGCATATCCTGCCGATATGTCATCACACGCATTGTCAGATAAATGGCGCCAGTATACTCGTATATAGCCCCTTTTTGATACGAGATTTCGGCTAAAAATGGTTATGTGACACAATCTATTTTTTTTTCTTCCATGGCTTGATGGTTGGCATCAGACTCTGAACGGCGACGGATCGGCACACTCGGCGGGGCCGGCCCGCTTTGCCAGAGTCTTCTTCGGCCGCTGGAGGATTCCTTCACAGCTCCCACGTCAGCTGAGGGAGTCCGACCCCTCCCAGCTCATCTTGCTCCAGTGGTGCTGCCTAGCAGGTCTTACGGGACATCGTCAGGTATAGGCCAAGGTGGCCGGGGTTTTGAAAGGTACGTTATTCCATGTACGGGGCCCGGAACATATCTGTTAATGGAGGTTCTAGGGGACCCGATAGGGTGGATAGTGAACGCTTGGGCATGGCGATATCGGCATTTTTGAGGGGATATCTGGTTCCACCAATAGGGACATAAGGGCAATGCTGGTGGAAAGTAAGATGCTAAGATAGTAATAACATTGTGATAGAATCGTTAGGCGAAGCCCGAAGAGAAAAAATGAAATCTTGTCAACTCTAACGTTAGACGTGTTTTCAACATTGGTTTGCTGCTGCTGCTGCTGCTGCTGCTGAGGGTTTTTAAATCGTCTGTAACTATCTTCAAAGCGGTCTATTTCTTAGCAAATTATTTCTACTTGTCGCTATAGAATATAATATGACCTTTCTCCTGCAAAAACAGCGAATGAACATCGAACATACAGGTCAGTTACTATCATTAATAGCTAAAATGAAGTAAGTCAGTATGCGTTGTTAGGACTGGGAGTTCCCCTCAGTGTCCCAAAATTGTATTTTGGCTTGGGTGTCAAAGGAAAATTCCTAGGGGCCCGGGAACGATTTTCAAGGGGGGCGAGCATATAAAATACCTGACATGATGCATATGAAACGGTGGCGTAGCTAGGGGTCTAAGGGGACACGTACCCCACCTCCCCATCGGGTTCAAAGGGAGCCTCGGGTCCGAGGGGCCCTGCGGCGCCATTTGACCACTGGTGGTTAACAATGGCCATATCGAAGGGCCCCATGGGGCTCATTAGAGCACCTCATGGACCCTAAATTGCCACACTAAGATCTCTTTAAGGGCCCCACGCCGGATTCTGAGGGCCTCTTGTGCCTTTTAAGGGCCCTTCAGTGGTCTCCACAGGCCCCTTACTGGCCTCTGAAAGTTCTTACCGGCCTATGAGGGCCCAGTTCTAGGGGCATTTCCCGCCTGTGATGGTCCCACAATTATTTTTCTGAGAGCCCTATAACGGCAACTGTGGGGGCCCTCGTCGGCGCCTATGGGGGCCCACACCGGTGTCTCTGAAGGTTTCACACCCCCAATTCTGAGTGCCTACACTAGTGCCTATTAACCCGGCAGTTGCTGGGGTATTTCGCCACCCACCGTTTGCTGGGGGGGGGGCGTTAAACGCCCCCAGCCGATAACTCGAGAACCAATAGGCGCAGCGAAACGCACGAGGCGGCAAACGAAAGAGCGCGACGAGACGCTTCAGATGAGTACTTTAAAGTTGAATTTTGAGGTCACAGGTCGGGTCAAGGTCAGGTCAAACACCTGAAATCGGGCTTTCAGTAGCATGGACTTCAGGACTTCGCAATGGGCGCCTCTCGCCATAAACTCTGTCAAAACGGTGCACAATCCATCTTATAAGGCCTACAAGAGTGTCAGCTCTATGTAGGGGTCAGTCAAGCATAGGTCAGGGTCAAGGTCAGGTCAACCGGGTAGGCACATATCCCCGAAAATCAAAACTGATATTCGCAGACTGTGACACATGTTTTATAGGTAATTTGGGGCGTAGAACACGATGGTGACATTTATTTTATC